TGATCGTAGGCGCATGTAGGAAGTTCTGGTACGATTATTTAAAAGTCATTTGAGTCGTCAAAGTCGTTTCGTTCAAATTAAAATTTTTGTCAACCAGAGAGAAATGGGTTAAAGGTACGTGTCCACTTGCGAGAAATCGCCTCAAAATCAGCCCTGGAGAGCTCCGAGTCGGATCTAAATCCTAATAACAGAAAAAACAGGCGAATTATTTTAATAATAATTTAAAATAAGACATTGTGAGTTTAATAAAAAAAATTAGATATGCTTAAAAATTGTATATTCAGTATCCTCGTGCCATTTAAAACTTTCCAGCTGATGTCCTTCAAAAGGAAACAGCATCATATTTTGTCGCCTGAGAACTTGTTTGATCCACAGACCGGAGCGCGCTCAGGCCAATGTCGACTCTAACTGCCCATTCACAATGGACATAAGGCATAACAAGTACATAAAGCTTACATAAATACATAAAGTTGAAACGATGGAAAACGTGTACCCCTGTTCACAGTGGACGAACATAATTCGTATGCTTATGAACGTTTTATGTAATCCTTGTGTGCGTACACAAAGTTGAAACAAGTTCAACTTTGTGCAGGAATTATGTCAAAATTATGTTAAAATCTAGGGACTTTTGAATGCTGCTATTGAATTCCCTTTGACAGTTGCCACTTGGCACTTCACACGTTTGATTATATTATATAAATTATAATAAAAGCTTCACACTGCGAGTTTGTTCTGTACTGCGAGTTGTCCAGTTCGAATATGGTATGAAATTGTAGGTTAGATATTTTGATTGACTCAGTTTGAGGTTAGCCGTTTCTATCTTTAGCCGGGAGTTATTCCGTTCTGCGTTTGCGCAGTTTAACAATTCTTACAGAGTTCACTCTGTCCACTGTGAACGTAGATAAGCATAAGCCAGACACAAACCAAAAACGTAAATTATGTTATGCGCTGGTTCTTATGTCTTATGTCCATTGTGAATGGGCAGTAAGCGATCAGAATTTCTGCGAGAAATAATTATTATTTAGATGCTTTTATTTACAAACATAATATCACATCTCACATGTTTCGCTCGATTTTGACATGCAACAATTTTTTTGTTTAAATTAATTCTTCAATTGTGTTTGATACCAACAAAACGTTCTGAATTAGCAATATTAGTGGAACCGTAATCATGCAATAGATTTTTCGGGAAAGTGCAGTTATTTTAGTGTTTTAGAAGCATTGTGTTCTATTTTGTATTAAACATATTTTTAGTCACAATTTTGGTGGTTATTTATTTCTCAATTTTTCTACTTCTCGACTTTTTCTTCGATTTTTTGCTTTTCGGCTTTTCGATTTTTGGATGTTTCGATTTGTTGATTCTACAGTTTTTCGATTTTTCTATTTTACGATATTTTAATTTTTCAATGTTTTAAATTTTAGACATTTAGATTTTTCGATTTTTCTGTTCTTCAATATTTTTTAATTTTTCAAATTTTAACGTTTCTGAATTTCCAGTTTTCCTATTTCTTAATTAATAATCTTTTTTTATTTTCCCATTTTTCCACTTCCCAAAGTTAAAATTTTTCGATTTTTCAGGTTTTTGATTTTTCAAATTTACGATATTTTAATTTTTCAAAGTTTTAAATTTTAGGCTTCTTGATTTTTCGATTTTTCAGTTCTTCAATATTTTTTAATGTTTCAAATTTTGATGTTTCTGAATTTTCAGTTTTCCGATTTTTTAATTAATCTGTTTTTTTATTTTCCTATTTTGCGATTTTTCAGGTTTCTGATTTTTCAATTTTTCGATGTTTTAAGTTTGCGATTTTTCGACTTTGCTTTTTTTCCAATTTTTGGATATTCCGTTCAATTTTGTGATTTTTCAGTTTTTCGATTCTTCAAATTTTTCTTCTATTTTTAAATTTTTCGATATTTCAGTTTTGGGATTTTTTAGTATTTCGACTTTTCGGTTTTTTGAGTTCTGGATTTTTCGATTTCTCGACGTTTTACTTTTTGCCTTTTCAATTTTTGGTTTTTTAAAATTTCAATTTTTGGACCATTTTATACTCGGATTTCTCAATTTTTCAACTTTTCAATTTTAAAAATTTTAGATTTTTCGATTTCTTGAATTTTCAGTTCTTCTATACTTGTTTTTCAATTTTTGAAATTTTTAAATTTTCGATTTTCAAATTTTTAATTTTTCGATTTTCCAATTTTTTAAATTTTCAGGTTTCGATTTTTCGATTTGTTTGATTCTACAGTTTTTCGATTTTTCGATGTTTCAATTCTTCAATATTTTTTAATTTTTCAAATTTGGACGTTTCTGAATTTTCAGTTTTCCGATTTCTTAATATCAATTTATTTTTTTATATTCCCATTTTTCGACTTCCCAAAGTTTCGATTTTTCAGTTTTTCAATTTTTAGATTTTTTAAGTTTGCGATTTTTCGACTTTGCTTTTTTCCCAATGTTTGGATATTTCGTTCAATTTTGTGATTTTTCAGTTTTTCGATTTTCAATTTTTCGATATTTCAGTTTCGGGATTTTTTAGTATTTCGACTTTTCCGATTTTTTGAGTTTTGGATTTTTAGGTTTCTCGACTTTTTACTTTTTGGCTTTTCAATTTTTGGTTTTTTAAAATTTAAATTTTTCGACTGTTTTCAAGTTTTATATTTCGATTTCTCAATTTTTCAACTTCTCGATATTTTAACTTTTTAATTTTGAAAATTTTAGTTTTTTCGATTTCTTAAGTTTTCAGTTCTTCTGTACTTCAGTTTTTCAATTTTCGAAATTTTTAAATTTTCGATTTTCCAATTTTTCGATGCTTCGAAACATAAATAGGTCAAAATCGAAAAGTTAAAAACGGAAAAATTGATAAATCGAGAGATTGAACAATCAAAATAAAAAAATTGAAAAATTAATAGATCGAAAAGTTGAAAATTTGAGAAATCGAAATATGTATAAAACAGTCGAAAAATTGAAAAAAAAACGAAAAACTTAAAATCTGAAAAATAAAAAATCGAAAAATCCAAAAGTCGAAAAGTCCAAGAAACGAAATATTGTAAACTCCCAAAACGGAAAGAAATATCCAAAAATTGAGAAATCAAAAAATTGGAAAATTGAGAAATCCAAAAACGAAAAAAGCAAAGTCGGAAAATCGAAGAATTGAAGAAAATTTTTAGCAACGACAAAATTCGAAAAATTGAAAAATAGAAATAATATTGAAGAAGTGAAAAATCAAAAAAACGAGAAATCTAAAAAGCTAACATTAAACAATTAACATATCGCAGAACTGAAAAGTCGAGAAATTCAAACATAAAAAAATCAAAAAATAAAAATTTAAAAATCCAAAAACTGAAAAAGCGGATAACTGAAAAGTCGAAACATCGAAAAATTGAAAAGCTCAAAAGTCGAAAAACCGAAAAATCCAAAAATCGAAACATCGAGAAATTCATAAACTGAGATATCGTGAATTGAAAAGTCGAAAGCCGAAAAGAAAAGTTAATAATGAAATAATCGAAAAATTTTAAGAAAGAAAAATTGGAAAATGGAATACTTAAAAATTCGGAAAATTGAAAAAGTGAAATATAGATGAACTGAAGATTCGAGATCGAAAAACCTATAATTTTAAAATTGAAAAATTAAAACATCGAAAAGTTGAAAAATTGAGAAATCGAAGTAATAGTCGAAAACTTGAAAAATCTAAAGTTTAACGAACAATTGAAAAGTCAAAAAGTAAAAAATCGAGAAATCAAAAAATCCAGGAGTCCAAAAATCGGAAAGTCGAAAAAACGAAATATTGAAAAAACCCAAAACTGAAAGAAATATCCAAAAATTTGGGAAATAAAAAAAATGGAAAATTCAGAAATCGAAAACTTGAAAAATCGAAAAATGGAACAATGAAGAAGTGAAAAATCGAAACTTTGGGAAGCCGAGAAATGGGAAAATAAAAGAAAGATTACTTACGTCAAAATTTGAAAAATTGAAAAATCGAAATATGTATTTAAAAATCGTACTGAAAATTTGAAGAATGGAAAAATTAAAGAAGCCCAAAATAGAAATATTGAAAAATCGAGAAATCGGAAAGCCGAAAAATCTCAAAAGCGTATTTATAAACCTACGATCAGCTCTAACGAAAGTCGGCTTATAGATAAATCGCTTAGAGTCGAAATGGGCCTGAGTGCGCTCTGGTCTGTAGATCAAACAAGTTCCCAGGCGAGGATTTCATAAAAAATAGTGAACAGGGGCGGATTTACATCATTTTGTAGCGAATTTAACCGGAAGGGTCGAATACAGTACGAAAATATTAACTTCTTTGGGTTTGCACGTCGTCTGTATCCATGTGGATCTCTGACGGCTAAATATTTTTCTATATACAACTTTGAAATTCAGAGAGATTTTAAAATACCACGCGTCGTCTGTGAAAAATTTGAGAATTATGACCTAGTAGGGATTACTTAATACAAAGTGAATAACATTACTTTCCAAGAAAATTAAAATTCTCTATATAACGAATGCAAATACACTAAAGTCAAATAAAAAAAATACTGTTTTCATTGATATGGCATAGATATACTTTGAAAAGGCAATTCATGTTGTGTTGCAAAATCTAATACATAATGTGGTAAATACATTATCTATGAAGAGTTTTTATCCTGAAATAAATATTTTGTCCCATATTATTGCAGAATCAATACATCCTCCAACCGCGTCATAATCTAAAGTCACACCAAGTGGACATATTTAAACGATTCATTTCCGATTTGTACTGCTACCTTCTCTATCCCCGCTTTTCCTGACCCATAAATCACCCATCAGTTACTTAACTGGCTGGGAATTTCAAAACCCCACCTTACTCATTGACGGAAAACCGCACGCAACCCTAACCCTGTTTACGTTTTCGTTCAAAATTTACCTCGGCAGCGCTTCGTCCAGTCCCGACTCTCTCCATCTTCTTCTTTCGGAACTCCCCACCTCTCACCCGTCCAATCGAAATATTCTTGACAGCGGTTCTTGTTTGCACTTGATGTTTGTGGGAATGTGACCCATTTTAAATATGTCGCGCTACACAATTTCAGTCTCTGGCTCGTGCACGAGCAGGGCGGATGGGTGAAACCCACAAAAGACATTGTTCTTTTAACGTCAGATGACGATTTTCGTATTTTATTGGTTATGAGTGGATGTGCATGAGTTGTTCTCAGAACTCTTGTTTACGATTTCTGTGGGTGATAACTGTAAGTGTTTTTTTGTTGCGGCTGTTTAACGTTATTACATGCCTGTTTGTATTTTTTTTAAATAAGTATTTTTCACTGGGTAAGTTTTATTGCTTTTCACTCTATCGCCGGTTTCTCTTTGAATGTGTAGAATTGATTAACACTGATTTGTTACGGAAAAAAGAATAGAGGTACTTAAGTAGTGGTAAGCGAGCTTAATTCAGAAACGAATTTTTCTAAAAGTTGCTGAAAACTTGTTTTGGAATTACGAATTACAGCAGCTCATTCAAATTTAAACAATATTTATTCTGAACATCGTCTAGCAATAACTGTTCAGATACAGTTTAACCCAAATTGAGTGGTCCCAGTTTCGAGATACCTTGGTACCGGTACATTCACACTGTATCCTTCAAGTACTGCGATCGAGTTTTACCATATTAATAAATTAACTACATTTGGATTAGTGCAAACATGTGTGTAGACCTCCATTCTCTTAAATTCCTTATTTGGCGGATTCATTTACGTGTTATAATTACAAATTCGATTTTATTACGTGCTTAGAAGCCAAAGCTTATTCTATTGATTATTATGTATCTGTTCATCGATTAGAAATAAATTGAGAACTGAGTTATGTGGGTCTATTGAATTTTGTGGGTTCACTGGATTACAATTTTTAATTGTTGTTAGTCAATGGTCATTCTCTACCCACTTTGTCGTTATTAATAATTCACAAATAAATTTGTCCATCGAGGTGGTCTCGAAAAATTTTAAGACTGACATTTGGCCATGGCCGTGGCAGTTGGCGGTTTCTCCGAACTTGAAGTTTATTGACATCGACTTGTTTCGATCTTGGTTGGTGGATTTTTGTACACTGATGGCTACCAACTGGTGTTTGTGCGTGCTTTTTTTTGACATTTTAAATATTAGGTCTACTTTAGATGGCCACTGGCCCTTGGAAAGTGTTTACCACTGCTAACAAGTTATCTTAGCACCACAAATAGTGCCACCTACCTCAATACAAACTTTCTACTATATAGTTATTGTTATATACGTACTTACCGTAAGTAATATTGTAACTTTACTTCCTGTTTCACATGTTTGTCAGCACGTGTTTATTTCTCTTGTGCTTGTTTCCCACAATTATTTGTCGAGTAACGTTGTAAAATATTTATCAAATTTAGTAGTAATAAATTAATATTTATTCAGAAATATTGGAAGGAGTGTAATGATAATGAGTGTGCCGCAAACTTTATTTTTAGGCCCTATTAAGAAAGCAAATATTTTGCCGCCTCACAATATTAGTGATGTTCTTCATAACCTACAACTTTGTCTTGCCAGTATATCACTGTCAGTGTTACTTAAAATAACATAAAATGTAAGATTAACACTTGCGCTAGGGAAAAAATTTGCATAAATTCTACTAGTTTACTAAGGGGGAGATTCTCGAAACTCGATAAGGCCTTGCAAGGATCTGCAAATTCAAAACCATAGCAACATGTATTGTTGTTGCATTGTATTTGCAGTTTCGATAGCGATTTGCAAATTATCGGAGTTTCCAGAATCTCCCCCTAAAAGATTTTTTCTACAAGTACTTAAATCTGATTCCTATGTTAATAAATTAAATGTTCCATTTTTTATGCTTCACGATCATGACTTTGTTTTTTAATAGCTTTTAAAGCAGGATATCGCAATGAAGTATTTGTTGACACGTTGCGTTTTTTTAATTATTAGCTATGATTATAAGTGTGATCAAATATATTATTGTACCTATTTTGTCAATAATGTGGAAAATTAGCTTTCCTTAATTCTAAAATATCTTTTCTAAAACCGTAAACGGTAAATAATAATTGTCTCCTTGAAAAAATGCAGTCACGGATGTACGTCATTATGCACTAGTTATGTAAAAAGTTTACCAAAGTTGTCCTTTAAATTTAATTATATCTCTGCAACAAAGAATAATGGGTAAGAAATTTTAATTGCAGAATACATTAATATAAAGTGTTATTTAATATTAATAGTGGTATTTTCGTAATGTGTATTATAATTTAATAATAATGCACTTTTATTTTCGATGGCAACACTACTGACATTCAGCCAAGGCAGATATTTCGGAAGCACTTATTTCAGACCTTGAACATTTCGAAATTTAGTGGGTTGGTTTTTTCCTCTAATTTTTTCTCTGATTCATATTTATCTAGGATGTACGGTAAAGATCCATGTACATACTGTTTATACACTAATTTTTGCATACTTAGGAATCGCAGAACAGGGTCGTATGTCTCTAATCTGTAGTTCTTGGACAATGATACAATAGTTTTTGTCCTTTTATACATGTACTTTGTTGTCTTTCAGAATTATAATAAAATTATTTTACCTCCGCATTTCACCGGTTTATTTGCTGTTAATCTGTCTTGTGCACAATGTTGTATTTTGTAAACACGTATTTTTCATCTGTCGTAAATATCAACGTCTCTTTGACAGATAATTTTCGAAAGTGTCGGGTTGATTGTCGTCAAATTTTATATACAGTACTTGATAAGGGAACACTGATTTTGGCAAATGACATATCCTATAAGAAAATACGGGCGGGTGGGCGGGGCTAGTACTTGCTAACATAAGTCTTATTTTGGCAAATAACATATCCTCTGAGAGCGTAGGGGGCGGGTGGGCGGGCCTAGTACTTGGCAAGATAAGACTAATTTTGGCAAATGATATATCCTCTAAGAAAATACGGGTGGGTGGGCGGGGTTAGTACTTGCTAACATAAGTTTTATTTTGGTAAATGACATATCCTCTGCGAACAGTGGAAATTTGCAATTTAACACCTTTAAATTTCGCAAGTTTTTAGAAGAATAATAGGGGCAACATTAGTTTTATCTTAACAAATACTAGCCCCGCCCACCCGCCCTCCATTCTGTCAGAGCTATGATGTTTGCCAAAATAAGACTTATCTTAACAAGTACTAGCAAGTACTACCTTCTGAGAAAATAAAGGGCGGGTGGGCGGGGCTAGTATTTGTTAACATAAATCTTGTTTTGGCAAATGACATCCTCTGAGAATGTAGGGGGCGGGTGGGCGGGCTTAATATATATTTTAGGAATATCGTGTAGATGGTAAAACACTAACCAAACTTTGTGTGATTATCCCCATCCACACTGTAATGACGTCACCTTAAAATTTTGCTTAGTAAACGCCATTTCAATTTTATAAAGTATCGTTATCCTGTAATACCTAAGGTCAATTTTTACTTCCCGAGCATAAGTAAGCTAAGGAAGGATAGTAATCGAGTCCATTGAACGAATGCTCACTTTTTTACTAACTCTAAAGTACTCTCCCGTTTCTGTCTGTCTGTCTGTCTGGTGTCTGTATCCATTTTTATTAGACACGTAATCTCTGAAACGCTGGCTGGACCGATTGTTGTCAAACTTTGTATGTATGTTAGAAATTTTATGTAGATGGTGACCAAAATTTTGCTGAGTTTTTCCCTAACAGTCAAAATTTTTGCAAAACATAATGCACTGTGAAATAACAGTTTACCATCAGCATAAGGCATTCCGGTCGTAGCCTTTCGTTTTTTTTCTCGCATTGTGTATTATCTATGTTTGTGACGTCATAACAAATTTTTTATTGATGAAATTACCCCACTTTCTCAAAAAGGTGAGAATGTAATACCTTTTCGGGGGCGCCAAATATCTTTTTATTAATCTTAAACCTTCCCGGAGGTCCCAACTCTCTTTTTTAAAAATGTAAAACCTTCTCGGAGGCGCCAAATGTCTTTTTTAAAAATGTAAAACTTTCTCGGGTGCAACAAATATGTTTTTTTTAAGAATGTGAAACCTTCTCAGGAGTCCCAACTGTCTTTTTTAAAAATGTAAAGTCTTCTAGGGGGCCCCAAATGGCTTTTTTTTAATGTAGGATCTTCTCGGGGCTCCTAATTATCTTTTTTAAAAATATGAAACCTTCTCGGGGCGCCAAATGTCTTTTTGTTAATGAGAAACCTTCTGGGAGGTTCCAATTGTCTTTTTTAAAAATGTGAAACCTTCTCGGGGGCACCAAATGTCGTTTTTTAAGAATGTGAAAGCTTTTGGGGGGTACCAACTGTCTTTTTTAAAAATGTAAAATCTTCCCGGAGGCCCCAAATGTCTTTTTTTTAATGTGAAACCTTCTCGGGAGTCCTAATTATCTTTTTTAAAAATACAAAACCTTCTCGGGGGGCGTCAATTATTTTTTTTTTTTAATGTGTAACCTTCTTGGGGGTCCCAATTGTCTTTTTTAAAAATGGAAAACCTTTGCGGGGCCCTCAAATGTGTTTTTTAAAATGTAAAACCTTCTCGGGGGCGCCAAATGTCTTTTTTTAAGAATGCGAAACCTTCTCGGGAGTCCCAACTGTCTTTTTTAAAAATGTAAAACCTTCTCGGAGGCGCCAAATGTCTTTTTTTAAGAATGCGAAACCTTCTCGGGAGTCCCAACTCTCTTTTTTAAAAATGTAAAACCTTCTCGGGGGGGCCAAATGTCTTTTTTAAAAATGTAAAACTTTCCCAGGGGCGCCAAATGTTTTTTTTTTTAGAATGTGAAACCTTGTCGGGGATCCCAACTGTCTTTTTAAAAATGTAAAACTTTCTCGGGTGCAACAAATATGTTTTTTTTTAAGAATGTGAAACCTTCTCGGGGGCACCAAATGTCCTTTTTTAAAAATGTGAAACCTTTTGGGGGGTACCAACTGTCTTTTTTAAAAATGTAAAATCTTCCCGGAGGCCCCAAATGTATTTTTTTTTAATGTGAAACCTTCTCGGGAGTCCTAATTATCTTTTTTAAAAATACAAAACCTTCTCGGGGGGCCCTACTCTCTTTTTTAAAAATGTAAATCCTTCTCGGGGGCGCCAAATGTCTTTTTTTAAGAATGTGAAACCTTCCCGGGAGCCCCAACTATCTTTTTAAAAAATGTAAAACCTTCTCGGGAGCCCCAAATAATGCCAAATATCTTTTAAAAATGTAAAACTTTCACAGGGACGCCAAAGGTT